TCAGGAAGTTTCTCCTTAGTTCTAGGTTGCTTCTCTCCTTGCTTAGTTTCCACCCGTTGCTTCTTGTCCTGCCTTCAGGCGCCTTGGAAAATAGCTTGATACCCTCTTCTTTGTGGCAGCCCCTGAGATATTGGAACACTGCTATCATGTCCCCCCTCGTCCTTCTCTTCATTAAACTAGACATACCCAATTCCAGCAACCGTTCCTTATATGCTTTAGCATCCACTCCCCTAATCATCTTTGTTGCTCTTCTCTGTACTCTTTCTAAAGTCTCAACATCTTTTTTACATCATGGTGACCAAAACTGGATGCAGTATTCCAAGTGTGGCCTTACCAAGGCATTGTACAGTGGTATTAACACTTCACGTGATCTTGATTCTATCCCTCTGTTAATGCAGCCTAGCACTGTGTTGGCCTTTTTGGCAGCTGCAGCACACTGCTGGCTCATATTTAAGTGATTGTCCACTAGGACTCCGAGGTCCCTCTCACAATTACTACTATTGAGAAGGTACCACTCATACCATACCTGTGCATTTGGTTTTTCTTGCCTAAATGTAGAACCTTACTTTTTTCACCATTGAATTTCATTTTGTTAGATAGTGCCCAGCGTTCGAGTCTGTCCAGATCCTCCTGTATCCTAAGCCTGTCTTCTGGAGTGTTGGCTATTCCTGCCAGCTTGGTGTCATCTGCAAATTTGATGAGTTCCCCATCTATCCCCTCATCCAGATCGTTGATGAAGATGTTGAAGAGCACTGGGCCCAGAACAGAGCCCTGGGGCACCCCACTACACACTTCCCTCCATGTAGATGTGGTTCCATTGAGGACCACTCACTGAGTATGGCTGGTCAGCCAGCTACGGATCCATCTGGTGGTGGTGCTTTCTACCCCACATTTTTCTATCTTGTTACTTATTTGTTACTTATCTTTTAGTTTTCCCACCTTGCCTATAATGAGTGATGTACAAATCAGCCAAGCACCATTTGTCAGGAACTCAAAAGAAAAGTCAGTATAAGATGTGGCTCTAGAGGCACAAGTTTTATGTTAGCATAATTTTGTGCCCTCTCAAGGATAGATTATTAATAATTCACTCAGCCACAGATTAAATTCTTTTGGAAGCCTTTTTTTTTTTTACCAAAGGCTTATCTAATAAAGAAGTTAAAGAAAATTGAGGACAACAAAATTAAAATAGTCTCCAGCTTATCAGCAAGTTTGCATCTCTTTCTCTTCTGTCTCTTAATGTTTAGTTCTGAACCACATGCCAAGCAGGTCCTTAAAGGGCCACCACGCCAGCGTCTCAGGAATGTTGCTGCTCAGATTTCCATTCCTAGTTTCTGCTTACCTGATGATAACTTCCTGTCCATGCAAAGAGAGATCTGGTTCCACTTTGTCCCAGATGTCCATGACCTTCTGCCATTCCTGCTCGGTGAGCCCCATAATATTACAACAACAGAAACAATGAAAAGCTTTTTAGCTAAAGAGATATAGACAGCCCGAATGTTCTTCCTTGAGTGAAGGTTGAACAGAGAGACCTGTTGGTTTAATAAACTGACTAGAGATTGACACCTATCACTTGACAACTCCACTCTAGGTCACTCTGGTTAAACTCTTAGTGGAAATCTATTTTGAGTCGGGTGCTATTGTGGCAGACTCAGATGAAATAATTGCTGACTCTGGTATCAGACTGGCACAGGTCCTACGTCCCACAGAAGGGACACTGTCAAGCATCAATGCCAGGAATTTGGTATTCAGCACCCATCCCAAGAACAGAGAAGACATTCCAATTTTTCATTTTATCTTTGACAGCCCAAAAAACATATGACAAGGGAGATCAGTGATCAATAGCACTATGGAATGCATAATAAAATGAATTCCTCCACAACACTCAGCCACACCATTTCCTAAGCTTTAGCTGCATCTTAAATAGACCACTGTGGACAAGGGGGAGGAAAATGCAGATAACTTTTTTAAACATTAAGAGTAGCTGAAAATAGTTCTTTCAGAAGGAAGGAAAGAAAGAAAAAAGGAAGGTGACTAGGGAGGGAATGTAATTAGATACTCCCAACTCCCAGGGCTGACAAAATGTGCAGACCCAGACCCTTTCTCCCAGTTCCCTTAATTAAAAATCACATTAGTCTTGGATCTCCAGGAGATATACAATCTAACCTTCAGAGTGACAGAATCAAGGGTTCCCATCTCATGTTAATCAACAGACTCCAATTCAGTTTTATACTCAGTTATGTCTGACCTTATTCACTTTCAGCCACTGCCTTGGGGTTTAGAAGACACATTAAGCCCAAAAGTTGCCATTTTACCTTTTGTCACATATGGCTTATTTAACATGGCTTATCTTATTGCTCAGACTTGGAGCAGCTGCTATCTGGGGTTTATAGAAACTGGAATTTAAAACTTACAATAACTACAGATACTGGAATCAGTAAACTGAAAATAGCAGTTATGCCAGATTCAAAACTGCAGATGTTGGGAGTGTTCATTCATGGAGGTGAAAGGTGTTTTTGTTTAGCTCACATACATTGTTTTTCATATTAACCCACCAAATTGTACTTCTTTTAAAACAAGACAATGAAAATCCAGTAGGCAATTACCCCAAATCTGTCTGCAGGCGGAATGGAACAACTCACTGCAGCTGGGTCACCCCGGCAGCTCGTTGTGGGACAACTCACTGCAGGAGAATGCCAGAGGTGAGGGGAACCTCCTTGTCCTCCTCCTGCTCCCTCCCTCTCTCCCTCCTTCTGTAATCTGGCTTACCCCTCCCCACCAATACCCCTTGAACTCTGTGGCAGAAACTCCCATGCATGGGAAAGTGTGTGACTCTCTCCCAAGTGATTTTTTTTTCTGGTTAGGGAAAAATCCCTCTTCTCCCTCCCCCCTTCATCCTCCCCAATATTTTTCTCTAGTCTGAGCTACGGCAGTGGAGGAGGAGGAGGAAAAGGAGGTTCCCCTCGCCTCCAGCATGCTACCATTACATTACATATGTAACTAATAAAAGAAATTGTCCCACGGCGAGTTGTCCTGCATTGAGATGGTCAGGGCAAGGCAATGGCAGCGAGTTGTCCTAGACCTGCCTGGAGGGTATGATAAAAAAATCAAGATGGCAGCCATAATGCTGTGTTTGAAGCTTTGCCCATTTTAATAGACCACCATATTGCCATCTTGATATTTTGACAACTTAGACATCCCTGATAGCCTATGGATATTTGGATGTTTCCTGAGTTTCATGTCTCTAACACGCCTCTGGAGCCAAAATCCACTACTTTTTCTCTCTCCCCTTACAGTCTTGTTATTTGTTTGTGTTGTGTATCCCAAAGAATTGTTTACAGTATATCGTCTAATCAAACCCCCTTGGAGTACAAAAACAGACTTTGTACATGACATAGTCCCAGCTCTTTCAGTAATCTTTTCAATGCGTACTTGGTATTGGGATCTACTATAATGGGAATTGAACAATTGAATTCCACCATTCCAAGAGCGTATTGCCAAAATCCAGTGGCAAACCAACAAATTTTTATATGTCTTTATTCCCAAGGATTAAAATAATGTGTCGTTTTAAAAAAGTTGAAAACCTCAAGCCCACCCTCCAGAAATGTTTCCTTTTCAGGAGAAAATTCAAACACCAGCCTCCCCAGTTAATATCATTGTGATATATCCTGTGCAGCCCTAAGTCATAAAAAAGACAAAAACATGCTGCCTGGTCACACAAGAAGGAATCAACTATTATTTTAGTGCTGCTACACTCAGCCTTAGATCTCTTGCACATAATCTATGCCATCTAGTGGCTGTAAAGGAAAAGAACAGCAAATGAAGCTTTATCATGTTCATGCAAAATTACGCAGGAATAATTTATGACCCTATTATAGTGTTGTGTCATGTAATGTGATGAAAGGAGATGAATCTTTTTTTCATTTGCTTCTATGAGCTAAGAAGGGCAAAGTTGTCTCAATTTTCAGAAAGTCAACAAAAAGAAGGTGGCAGGTGGACTAATTAACATTTGATTAACAGGATTGGAATTGCTATCACCTTGAACCTCAATTACCCATGAGCAAAATGTATGCATGTCAAAGGAGAAGGGGTGATGGAGACCTTCACCCAGGTTGGTACACACAGGGAGCAATTAAAAGTAAGTGATAGCTATTTTTACTACTCTGATTTAACCGCATTAAGCCTTCTAAACCTATTCATAAAAGTAACAAGATTTCTGTTATTACAGGGCCAGCCTGCACAAGGGCACTTTTGGCTATGGTGACACCTATTTGCATTAACTACCCAGTAGTTATTAGGACTGCTGAACTCAACACTGAAGTCTACCACCTTCAAGGGGTAGTCCTATCTAGTGTGGGGTTGGGGAAATCGGTAAATAAAATAGATAAGCTTTTCTGAGGTTAAAGGCATCAGTTTTGCTTCTTTTTCTTAAAAAATGTTCCTCTTAAAGAGCCCTAGAGGTTTCAAAAGTGGGTCCTGCCTGTGCTAGAAGTAAGCAAATAGGTGTAGCTAAACCCACATTACTTATTACAGAATTCCTATGCATTTTCCTAAGGGGGTACAGAATCCTAATTCTGTATATAAATAAAAATAACCAGAGATTTGTGACTCAGAGAAGCGTTCTACAAACTCCTAGCATTCCTGTGCATTAACCACACTAGCTGGGGCAATTGGGAGCTGTAGTTCTGCAATCCTTGGGTATTTCTTATCCAATTGGAATTTGACAGTTCTATATTGAGATAGCGGGGAAGAACAAATGAGATGACACAATGAGCTTGTTTGTTGCTTGAGCAAACATGGAATCTCTTTACAAACCAGCTTCTATTCCCTCTTTTATTCATTTATCAGAACTCCCAGAGAAACTTCTGATGCATTTTAGAGAGTCACCATCCAGGCAAGTTGGAAAGGTAAGCATTCAAATATTGATTGATCCTATTATTTTGGCAAACTAAATGTCAATAAAGAAATATGGAGCATTATACCCCTTTTTTTAGGTTCTAAATGTAAAATAATAAAACAGTGCCCAAAATTATCAGGGTTCTGAGTGAAGGGGGGATTTAGATTTAAAAAAATTAAAACAATAATGTAATATTTACAGTAATAATGTAATTCTTTTTCTATTTAGAAGTAAATTTTTACAAGCTCAGCAGGGCTTATTCATAAATAAATGTATTCCAGGTTGTTAACCGCTGAACAAAAAATATCAGGCATTTATAATCTTAAAATAGTGAGTTGGAAGGGACCTCAAAATATCACATTTTTGCTAAATTGACCCCAATTAAATGCCTTCAATGAAATAGAGCCAGCCAGATGTTTAAACTGGATTTGGCATTTTTATGGACCTGGAATGGACAGATGTTTTTTTGATGGTGTTACAGGTATCGTCCCAAGATGTAAGCTGTTCTAGGTAAAGCTACCTTTTGCAGTTGACTGCTGCTGATTTTGTCAGTGCTGATGGTGTTCAAGTGGTGCTCCAGTTGTTTTGGGATTGCACCCAAGGTGCCTATTATTATTATTGGTACTACCTTTGCTGTCTTTTGCCACAGTCATTCTATTTTTATCTTCAGGTCTTTGTATTTTGTGGTTTTTATACAGTTCTTTCTCTTCTCTTCTGCTCTTTTCCAGGCACTGCCACATCCACTATCCAAACTTTTTTTGTCTTCCTTATAGACAATTGTTAAGTCCTCCATCATTACTTGCCCACGGCATAGGTATCTTTGACTATTGTCATTCACTATTAAAATTAGTAAATCATTGTCATCTAGGATCTGTAGCTCTAATTATCAAGCTGTACAAAGCTAAAGTTAAGTTCGTACCTTTATATGGGGATAAAGTACGAGGTTTAAAACATGTCAGTCATGTCACTTGAGTACACTGGGCACAGATAACAGCTGCTGCAGATTGAGAATATATTTATTTTGTACTCAGTCAAAAATTAGTGCATATATTTATTGGTGGGCAATTATTTATCTAGAAATTGTACCAGAGATTGAAAATATAGCACATACTGTATATATATCTTGAACCATACATAATCAAAATGACTCACTGAAACCCGTATGTCAAAACAATATATTTTATATCTGGTCAGGGCACAAATATTACTTTTAAATCGTCCTTCTTTTTGAACGAAATAGCACAATTGTGAATCACATTTGTAGATCTGATTGGGCTAAATGTAAGACTGAAAAGCACATCTGAGTTTAATATTTTTAGATAATTTGTCATGGATAGTTTTATTGGATTTTTTGTATTATGATATGGCTTTATGGCTAAACATAAACTGTTGTTGCTATTATAAAATATATATAAGAGATAATGCAATGTGGTTACTCCCAAGCTTCCCACTTGGAGAAAATGGCCTTGATTATTAAAAAGTGGTAACCATTAAACTCATGACAATTTAAGCAATAAGGATTTTACTGCACTGTGATTTTCTGCATTCTGTTTCTTTTCCAGTGATCAAATATTAGAAGAATTTGACAAGAATTTTTAACATTAAGTAGTCATACATGGTGCTGTTGAGAATGGCTTCAGAATAAAGTCAGGTTTATGCAAGTGAGCTTTTAGAATCATGATTTTAAGAAATGCACGGGAATAGAATAGAATAGAATAGAATAGAATAGAATAGAATAGAATAGAATAGAATAGAATAGAATAGAATAGAATGCCAAATGTGATTGGACATAAGGAATTTGTCTCCCCATTTGATTTAAATGGGAAAATTAAATGGATCATAAGCTTTTTAACAGACAGGAAGCAGCAGATGAAGCTAGGCAAAATCACATGAGCACAATTAACATAGAGTCCCCCAGGCTGTGTGGTCTCTCCATTTCTCTTCTCTCTATATACCAGGGATGTCAAACTGCCAGCCCACGGGCCAGACGTGTCACGAAGAAACCACACCCACTCCATTACTGGCAATGGGGAAAAAGTTCCAATACGTCGCCCGACATCACGTGACGTCACAAGTTTGACATGTCTGCTATATACCAATGACTGCAACTCAAAGGATCCCTCTGTTAAAGTACTGAAGTTTGCAGATAATACAACAGTGATTGGTCTCATTCAAGATGACAAATCTGCATACAGATGGAAAGTTGAACAACTAGCCTTGTGGTGCAGCCAGAACAATCTTGAACTGAACACACTCAAAACTGTAGAATGATAGTAGATTTTAGGAGAATCTCCCCCTATTCTACCACCTCTTACAATACTAGACAACACAGTATCGACAGTAGAGATCTTCAAGTTTCTAGGTTCTATAATATCTCAAGACTTAAAATGGACACCTAACATTAAAAAAATGTCATCAAAGCACAACAAAGAATATTCTTCATGCCAAACTCAGAAAGGTCAGACTGTCCAAGGAGCTGCTGATACAGTTCTACAAAGAAATTATTGAGTCTGTATTTGTACCTCTATAAATGTCTGGTTTGGCACTGCAACCAAACAAGATAGACACAGACTTCAATGGATACTTAGAACTGCAGAAAAAACAATTGCTACCAGTCTGCCTTCTATTGAGGACCTGTACTGCACAAGCCAGTCAGAGGGCTGTGAAAATATCTACAGACCCCTTACATCCTGGACAAAAACTGTTTCAACTTCTTCCCTCAAGATGATGCTATAGGGCCTTGCACACCAAAACAACTAGACTAGTTTTTTCCCCATGCCATCACTCTGCTAAACAACTATTTCC